TATATACATTCATATACAGATTTCATTCAGCAAGTTAATGTTTTCATCAAAAAATTAATATTAAAAAAAACGATATTGATAAAAATTGCAGTATATGTTGATATTTATATAATAAATATACAGTGGGGATTTCAACTTATGGTATAATTATTTTTTTTTTAAATCAATTCATTCCATTGAAGTGCAAGTGGCTACTGGAACGAAAAGAGAAATAAAAAGACTTTAAAAGGAACCAGAAACCAAATTCTAAACAAGAAACAATATATAAACCATGGAGATTGTACCAGACAATAGGTGAACCTGTTTTTATTAGAAATATTTACAATAATTTATTAGGTTGGCAAGAAAGTCCTGACTTAAGAAGTGGAAAGAAAGCAACAAAATTTTAGGGAGCAACGCCAACATTTATTCTTCAAAATAAAGTCCATTATTCTCGACGATCTTCTGACATCGATCAGCCAGCATCCGAATCTGTCCTAGATACCCGTCCGCTGGCTTTGAATAAAAAAACTCTAATAAAGCTTCCTTCACTTCATCAAATCGTTGGTCTCGGAGGAATTGTGCTATTGAGCGGAATAGGCCATAGTCACTCGGGGCAGCATGTGGACTGAATGGTAGATGTGGAAGAATCTCAACATCGTCTTTGTGTTTAAACTTCTCCTTAGTCAACCTAGCATTGTCTTGCTGAAAGAAAGTCCGATCTCGATTGACGAAAGCAGGATAGTCCTTTAGTTTGTTGTACATGCGATCCGAGCTGCTGCCAATAATTTTGCTTGATGGTGTGGCGCGTGGAGCACGCTCGAAATGCAGTACTCCTTGGAAATTTCATCAGACATCAAAATTTGTTTTTTTTCCGCTTCCCAAGTGAGTCAGCACTTTCTAGCCAACCTAATATTTCGGATTATGTGATTTTATTATGTCACTCGATGGTTACTCGCCATATTCGAAATGTAAGAGAATAGTTATTTATTTTTGACTTTTAATAACATAAAACCATGTCACAACGAATTGTTGCCATACATTGCAATTATATTAGAATAATGCAGAATCAATACTGGCAACAAACCGTTTGCATATGAATAGAAAATGAATTCAGTAAATATATAAAAATATAAAGGGGTTAAGGCAAAGATTTTTTTATCACAGGACTTATTTAATCTATACCGTGAGGCGATTTTGAGAAAATTAAAATTTCTACCAGGATTCGTTACTGGTGGCCACTATCTTAGCATAAGATATGCAGATAACATAGTGTTGATAGCACATATCGAAAAGAAACTACAATAACTCCTACAGAAGGTAGTGAAGGAAAGCGAGATGAAAGGACTAAACATCAATTGCAAAAAGAGATAATGCATGGTTGCTACCAAAGGAAACAGCCCAACATGCAAATTACAAAGTGGCGGTACCAAAATCAAACACGTACAACAATTTAACTATCGAGGAAATCTTTTACAAGGGACCGAAAGTGTGGCATTGAAATCTAAAGTCGTATTGGAATAGCAAAAGATGCCCTCCAAAAGCTAAGTAAATAATAACAAACAGAAAAATATCGTTAGAAACAAAGAAAAGAGGACTGAAATGTTATGTAATATCAGTCCTTCTATATGGCAGTGAATGCCGGACAATTTCGTCACAGATGAAGAAGAGAGCAACGACAAATTTTTAGAAAAAACTGGACGGAGGACACTTTTACAGAGAAGATACTAAGGAAAGAATTAAAAATTGGAATAAAATGAGGAAAAATAAATTAGAAAAAAGGAAGAGGAAAACAAAGGAAAGAATCACATGATGCAGGTAAGATATATCGTAGTCTATTTGAGGTAGGCATGGAAAGAAAAAGGACACTTATACTTAATACCAGGAAGAAATAGAAATGTCTATGACATATAATGAGGAAAAAAGGCTTGGAGAATTTCATACTCACAGGACATATTGAAAGCAAGAGGTACAGAGGAAAACAACACATTATCTACTTAGCAAGTTTGAGCAAATGGTTGTCGGAGCAAGGTTTAGGAGAGATAACAAAAAGACAAAATTTATTAAGAGCTACAAAGGACAGAAAATTGTGAAGAGTCCTGGTACATAGAAGAACATAAAACCTGGCATGGCTCGCAAGATAGCTATAAACTAAAGAAGAGAAACATGATATTGTAAAGCTATTGAATGAAAAGAGCGCAACATTTGAAATGGTAAAGATTTTGAAGGTGGATCAGAGAACCATGAAAAAGAAATTGTAGAAATTACTTGCAAGCTAAGAAAAGACGAGCTTTAAAAATGCCACAATAAAGATTTGAGAGACATTAAAAGATTAATAAGCCAGAAAAATGGATTAACCAGCAAGAAAATATTTGAAGAAGCTGGTGTTGTGAACACAAACACAGAGATCAGATGAAGAATATTAAGAAAATTAGCTAAAATTATGAAAAACAAAAATACTAACTTTAAGTAGCATACAGAGCTACAATTATATCTTAAATAATTTACCATCATTCATTGGATAATAGTAAATTTAGTGTGAAAACATTAACATGCGTAATAAATTCTAGCATAGTTTACATACATACATACATACATATATATATATATATATATATATATATATATATATATATATATATATATATATATAAACTATGTATGTATATATCTATGTATATATGCACATTCACATATATATGTGTATGCACGTATATACTTACATACACATATGTGGACATATATATATATATATACACATATATGTGTGTATATATATATATATATATATATATATATATATATTATATATATATATATATATATATATATACACACATATGTGTATATATATATATATATATACACACACACATATGTGTATATATATATATATATATATATATATATATATTTTGTTGCAGACCTCATTATCAATCAGGTATCTATAATGACAATTTTGATATATACTTTATTTATGGTAATTAACATTTGTGATTTAAGAATCCCATTTGCGCGTTAAAGATTTTTAAATATTGAGTTGTTTAACGTGAATTTACAAATTTCATTTTTAATGTCTCATTTTACCTTTTTTTTTTTTTTTTGAGAACTAAAACTTATATATATATATATATATATATATATATATATATATATATATATATATATATATATATATATATATATATATATATAGTACTCATTGCTTATCTGTAATATTTTTTCATTTATTTTTCAACATAGAATATAGAAAAATCCATAGGTATGGAGGCCTGCTTTATTCATGTTTAACTGTATCAATTGTTCCAATTATCTTCGAAAATTTTGAAAATGGGAACTTTATTTTATCTTACCTGATTACTCACCTAGTCTTACATAAACTGATATTTATTCAAGCATTTAAATTACTTGCTTTGTAGCAAGAAGCTTGTTGAATCCGGAAGAAGCTTCCAATAATTTTCAACCCTATCAATGAAGAATTCTAAAGGAATTGATAACTTGCTGCCAACTTACAATAAATCTATAGAAAATAAAGGGGAATATTTAGATGAAATAATTTCACTGATGATTACCTGGATCGGCAGGCACCCGAAGTAGACCAGTGGGCATAACGGCCAAAATTTATGATAACATCAATAAATATAAGGACATTAGCCCAAACGTAAATAATAAATTAATAATGTTCATTGGTTCCATAAAATAGATCGGGTTATTAATTTTGATTGGAAAAATCAGATACTACTCTGGTAATCTCTTCCCCTCACCACAAATAATAATGTAATTGATTTTTAATGTTTCTTTTTCAATGTCAGTCTATCAGCTTCTTTATTCCTAGAGATTTTTAGAAATTAATAAATGCCTTTTTTTCATAATCTTAAATAAAAGATCTTTCAGTTGATTCTTTATATATCACTACATTTTTGTGTTTGTTTTCCAATGTTTAAGATTCCAGTGCTTAAATAGTATCAACATAACGTTTTTTTTTTTATCCATCTTGTAACACACCCCTTAGTTATCGCTCTATAAAACCTTCCTCTATGTCTATCGAATTTCTCTTTTCTTGTTTTCATCCTCGATTTTGCTCATCTTCTCTTTACAATTTTCTTGTTCTCTTGTCTATGTTGTTTGATAACCAAACATACTCTCAAACTAGAAGCACAATTAAGTACTGCATTTTATTTGCTCAGTATTTCTTGTTAATATCAAATTAATTCATCAAAAATTGATAAGCCGTTACTGCTAAGTCAGTAACTTCTCTCTGGTAAATACTAGATTTATATAAATTTTACATAGCGAGAACTACTTAAAACCTGCATCGAAAATGAAAATCATGATGATTTTATATACTACAGGTATATGGTAAATGTCGCTGAAAACCAGAGCTTTCAGAACTGACCAATCTCTCATTATAAACCTGAATAAAATATTTTGCTTATCTCTTTTCATTATAACTGTCGCGTAATAAAGGGGGAATATTTTGATTGAATAAAGCTTCTGTTTTTTGGGGGTTTTTGTTGTTGTTTTTGGCGGAGGGAGATGTTTTTAAATTACTGTTTTAATAAACCTGCAATTACACGTTAAACAATCCGACATTTTTAAATAAATATGACGGAACGTGCTGTTTAAGGTATTGACTAATTTTATTACGGATTATCAACCATTTATTATTAAATCCTATTGAATACTGCTCTAACACTCTTTAGAGAATAAAAATGATATTTCCAGATAAAAGTCCTGCTATTTTACCCATACCTGGGGAGATGATCGATTTGTATCTTTCCCAACTGTATTTACGCATATGTGAATGTAACAAATCTGACTGGAATTCGAACTGCAATTCGTTATGTTCCTAGATATAACGTGGACGTATGGGTGGTGTAATAGATAATGGCTTAGAATAAGAAGTCGGAGAGACCTCCGACTTCTTATTCTAAGCCATTATCTATTACACCACCCATACGTCCACGTTATATCTAGGAACATAACGATAGAATCTTTTTCTTTTTTTTTTTGATCACAGATTATTGATGATGAGTACTGCAACCAAAGAGTAACAAACATTTGTTAATAGAAAAAAGTAATAAAAAAGGAAAGCATACCCATCCATTGAATTTATCTCGGCGAAGTTTCTGTTCATATCCCTGAATTTGCTGTTTAAAGACGAGAAAAAAAATAATTTAATAACCAATCGAACGAAATATATTGTCATTAACAAATATAACAGATGAGATGGCATTAAAAGGTTCCCGCAATTAAACGTGTGTGCCAATCAAAAAACCGTGTTCGGTATAATGAGCTTTCGCCAAAAACCTAATGAAATATTTCCACAATTTCAGTAGCAAATTTGCCGAATTTTACGCAAAATTTGATGCAGACGCTTCGCTAGAATCTGTCAGCCAGTGTAAAAGGTGCAGAGGCGTTGCAACGTAAAAAACTAGCGACATAATTGCACACTAGCAGAAACCTATTGGCAGACTGACTCAGTAGACAGTGTACCAATAGGCGTGCGCTTTTCTGTTGAACGGTACAATCACAACTCATAATTTCTGGGGAGTTTCCGATACCACCACGTAAACGATATAAGGACATTTAGGAAATAAATTTTAATACTGTCATCATAAGAATTTTGATTATTACCAAACTTTTAATATACTATTTTATATTCACAATATTGCCGGCTAAAGTTTTGCCGCGTCGACACACATATATAGAAATGACTATTATTCATTACTTTCTAAGGTACCTGAGTTAATATTTAATATTATTTCTATCAAATTCTACCTTTCATCATTTCTACGTATCATCATAGTCATATTTCCTTCTTAATTTTTGACAAGTGTATCTGTCATCGTACTTTCAGTTGATTCTTATTGTTTCTTGTTAAATCACGATCAGTAAAATGTGTGGAGCAAAAGTAAAGAATAACTCTTAGTTAAAACTCGAATTCATCCGTTTTTCCTCAAGAATCTTGGCGTGAGAGCTGCTTGACTGAATAGGTTACAAAAGCATTATGTATGCAAAAATGTTATGAAGTTTAATTATATGTCCCTGATTCTGCTATAATTTATCCACATATAAAACGGTAAGAAATGCGTCATATGACAGTATGGCTAGTACCAACTGTCAACGGGACTTGCATTTCGCGCCTCTAAACTTCATAAACATAAACTTCATAACATTCTGCATACATAATACATTTTCTCAAAACGATTGTACGTCTATTCTTTACATCCATTTCACTCACACGAAGCCACATCACTCACGCAACATACGATCAAGCCAATTCAAATGTAAAACACTATTTTGATTTTCGTTTACATATCTTCATACGTACTATGTTCGCCGCGTGAACAAACTATTGCCTTATTCTTCTCTCTCTCTCTCTCTCTCTCTCTCTCTCTCTCTCTCTCTCTCTCTCTCTCTGAAGAGATAACTTGTTTTCTTTGAAATCTTACCAAGCAAGTTACATTCCATTACCGCCAATCTGACCCCGAACGGTCAGTCACGATGAACGGGTGTGTCCTCGAAGTGACGCCGTGCCTCGAGAGATTACTGGCCCTGAAACTTACACCTGACCTCAAGTGAAACGTGTACATGCGATCCATCGCTAAGGATGCAGGGAAAATGGTCGTCTCTCTGTATCGCTTCTGTAAGTACCTGACACTCCAAGCCATCCTCTACTCTTATAAGAGTGAGATCAGGCCGAAAATGGAGCACCGTTGCTATGTTTGGGCGGAAGCTGCCCAGTCCTCACTTCCAGTCTTGATAGACTTCAAAAGCGTCTCGGAATCCTTGCGGGAGACGAAATATTTTCCACTCTCCTACCGCCCTCTCACAGGCGGAATTCTATCGCTACTTTCATGGAAAGTGCTCGGTCGAACTACATTCTTTGGTTCAGCCAGGTGTAACATTCACGGTTATGACTCTCCATACCAACCACATTCCCTTTGTATTCTATCAATGCGAAGTAAGTTAAAGTTGAACAGCTTCTTCCCATGAACCTCTGCTCTGTGGAACCAACTCACAAGAGGATGTTTAATTGATTACTACAATATTATCCTGTTCAAGTCTAGAGTTAACCATTATCTCCCCCTCCTATCCGTATGAACTACCTCTTAACGTAACATACTGCTTCGAGTGGTCCCCGGGCCTTGTACAGAATGAACATTACTACAAAAAAAAACATGTCCTTGTTTTTATTCATTAATGTACGTCAGTTTCACTATAATGTGGATATAGCTATGCTATATTTAGATGGTAAGACGTATTCATCTTTAGCAGTCATAACGATATTATTAATAGTAATGTCATGAATTTAATCATAGTTGTTTTTAATCCTTGTTGGGAATGACTGCAAAAATACTCCTCACCGAATTTACAGACAAAACATATAGTTGCATGATGGGATTTCTTCCGAGCCAATAAGACTGACAGCTTTTCGCTCTGATCCGACGTATATTTATGTTCTTTTATGTCTTGAAGTCAGAACGCTGCAATCACTTGTCTGTAACTTCTTTTGTGTGTAAATACCATTCTTGGTTTATGAAATTTTTTACCTTAATATTATTGTTTTGCTTAATTTTTGTCTTGCATATATTGTGTTTGCTTAATATTATTTTTGTCTTGTTCTTTTCTTTCTCGTGTTATTGTTTATTGCAAAATTTTTCAGTCCGGTTTGTTGGGTATGTCTGCCAATTACATTTAACTATGGCCAATTACTTTACATTTGATTTTAATTTTATTCATTATTAATCTTAAATATTAATGTCCGTCTTATTTCACTTGCTTTTCATCGCAATTTATTTTGAACCTTTCAAGATGGTCTGAGAAATTTCAATAAAATCAACTGAAATCAAGGTGAAATATTTACAAGTCGAAGATTGAAAGTAATTTACAATATCTCATGTAATAATAAATCCACAGTTCATATTTCTTTTTAAGTTCTAATTCATTAATTACGATACATAAAATTATTCTTCAAATGGTTACAGCTTCATTTATCTTACTGTCACTAGAATAATTATTTAGAATAATTGTATTAAATAAAAACAAAATAAAATAATAACAACCTGCATCGCTTTCCGGCCGACTGTGTAAAATGCAGAGGGATTATTCAAAGTATTTCCACTTTCTTTCAGACGGGCCTGTTGCTGTGTCATCAGGTAACGTCTGCGATAACAGAAAATAAATTATTTAATTTAGTTTTATATGATCAAGTCAAATATGTTGGACAAAGTATTATTATGGCACAACACTTACGTCATTTAATGAAATCACAACAAAAGATATTAATTTTGAAAGCCTTTCTTGATAGACAGTAATTAAAACTAATCTTTATAAGGTTTTATTTAGAAGAAGAAGATTAAAACAAGTTTATATAATCTGTATCCGTCTGGTCAGTATTAAATATTGCATGTAAAACATGTTGGCTACCTCAAAACCCACATTTAGGCTGTGTTATGCTTGCAAGGCCAACCCGACCCTCCGGTGTGTCATTTTCCAATTTCTTTTCTATGAGAATTATTTGAAATGGGATGCTATTATTGATTGCTTATACGATCAGGGTGCACCAGAAGCACATTTTCCCCTACAAAATTAAATATTTTTGTGTTTTATTTCATTTTCCTTTTAAAATTTCTACTGTTGTTTTTGGGGTCATTTTTTATTTTCACATACACAGAGCTGTACCATGCATTAATGTCGCCCGTATTGAAATCTGGATTGTAAAATGGACTCACCGGTGGGTCGTTGGTAATAAATGCTACCTATGATATCCTTGCCTCATATATGAAACAATGTTAAGTCAAAGTCGCTTGTATTAAAATTAATTAAGATATATCGTTGCGACCATGTGACAAGAGAAAGGAAGTTTGGGAGCCAACGTGTTTAGGTAATGATTAATGACAAATGCATAAACATATCGTCCATGATTTGAACAGAATAAACAAAACATCCACAAAATGACACCACAGACAATGCAAAACTTGGCTGTTATTTCAACTCTGAGCGCAATAATACACCGTTTAGCACTATTCTAGCGAGACACATGACAAAAAAGTCTGTTAAAAGCTGGAAATTTATTAACAGATTGCCCATCATACAAAAACTCATGTGAACAAATATTCACCATTTGTAAATATCACTTCAAAATAAGCAATCATGTTTAAAAATAATCATATTGAAAAAGTGCTTTTACTCAAGTTTAAAATCATTTTCTCACTCCTCTGAATTCTGTCTGAATAAATATGAATTTTGTTTGATATTTTTAGTATTACAAGAAAAAATCATCTTATTGTACAGTAAACACTTTATTAAGTTAGTTTTTTTTTCTTACAATATCGCCTCAAAACGTACGTGATTCAAAACAATATTTACACTATTATTGTTCGGACTGTTGTTCTAATCTTTATTGTCATATTCACAACGTTTCGGTCGCTGTACGCTCCAGTCTTCTTCAGGTGATATACGCTGGAATTTCGAACCCAACCCTTCATTTAGTCGACTGGTGTGAATTGATCTCGTTCCACGTGCCATGCTCTTTCTGGATATCGCAGTTTCAGTTATTTCTCTTTGGTAATCCAAATCTTCAAGTTTTCGTTCGTAACCAGGTATTGAACTCACAACTGTTTGAATCAAGTCACTGGATTACTTTAACAACGCTTTTATCCACTGGGCCATCTGTCATCATGAATTTGACAAAGATGAGGACATCAATCCGAACCATATAAATAATGTAAATAGTTATATCTCATCTCAGAAATGTAGACAGATGTCAAAACGATACATTTTAATCTATGAAAGAAATATCTTTATGTTTAAGTTTAAAAAAATTTCATGGTGCTAATTTATTATATCGTTGCAAGAGGAAATTGAAAAAGATTCTAACATAGAGAAAGCATAATATTTTTGGCAAGGCTTAACCTTCATATCCGAAAAAAAAACAGATTATTCCCTTGACACCGCTATTAATGTATACCCTTTTGACTTGCTCGGCAATGTTTATTTACAAGATTATAAAAATATGTTACAAAAAAAGTACAATGCGGTATTTAAATTTTACCTTTAAAAAATATTTACCGTTTTATAAAGAAATAAATTCGAAATGAAAACTTTGTTTAAAAATTTACTAAAAATTACAAAATATGTAAAAACCAACGTCAATACAATAATTATTATTTACTATTTTATAAAACAATGAAAACAAGTTTGCGTTTTATTCAGTCAAATAGCAATTCATATCTTTGTTATCAATTCTGAAGAATAAAGAAAATTTATAATTTTTTTATATGAATGGGTTTTATTTAAACTCTATCATCGCTTTTCAAAAACAATTGACATTGCCGAGGAAGTTAAAAGTGTATACAGTAATAGCGTTGTCAAATGAATAAGCGTCCTTTCGAAACAATTTTTTTCGGGCATAAAGGTTAAACTTTATCCTATTTTTTACGTTTAAAACTCGAAATAAATCAAAGTTATTAATCTTATCGGCATGAATATTGTGCATAACAAAACATAAAAGGAAATAATAATATTTTTGCTAAATCTCAAAATAAGAAACTATTTTCCAGAATCTGAATCGTAGAATTTACCTCCACCAGAAAAATGGTGCTTCAAGCAAACAAGAAAAAGCAAAATAATAAAAGTTAAACATATTTATAATTTAACCAGAAACCTGTGGTTAATACAAAAGATGATATTTTTATCAGAGGTCTGTGTAAATTTAAAATATAAAGTGATATAAATGAAAATAATAAATAGTTTTCATAGATAATTTTTAAATTATAATTCATCATTAAAGCAAAAGAAACAAATGAAAGTTGACTGAGTGATGACTAAGATAGAAATTAACTTTTTATACATCTTGTTCGTTTAAAAAACATTTTTTTTATCCTTTCAGTTTCATAATTCTAAACAAAAAGACATGGCGAATAGCATCCTAAGAAAAACGTGTCTGAGTCTATTTATTTTATAGTGATGTTTTAAACTATTGTTTAAAACATTAAACTAACTTGTGTTATTTACACTTGTATATAACAAATTATATCTAATTTTTGTTTCCTTATTAGAGAACCGCATAATTTCTGTTTGAATTTTGAGGGATGAGGAGTTAGCATTATTTTTCTTAGCTACATTCGTACTTATCTTTTTTTACTGTAATTTTGTTATTATTATTATTATTATTATTATTATTATTATTATTATTATTATTTTCTTCAATTTCTGGCGTTTACACATTTCTTTCCGGGTCCCGCCGAGGGACCTAAGGTTAGAAATGGCATCATGACCCTTTCCACTGACAAAAATGACATAGATAAAGCCCTTCGTAAGGTGTGGGCTGTACTTGTCAGAACAATTTTTTGTATCTCTTTGAGGCATGGACTTCCAGGAATCCCTTCAATTAGTCTACTGGAATCTTTTACAATCAGTCCTAGGGCTCCAACTACAACAGGGATTGTTGATGTTCCCATATGCCACATTTTTGAGATTTCTTCTTATTATTATTGTTATTATTATTATTATTATTGTTGTTGTTGTTGTTGTTGTTGTTGTTGTTGTCATTATTATCATTATCATTATTATTATTTGCTATTGTAATGATAATAACAACAAAGATGAAGACGTTAGTCTGAATGTAAATAATGTTAAATAATTACTTTGAAGGAATAATTTGACTGATTTTTAATATGTATATAGTAATTAATGTTCTTTCAATTTTTAATTAAAAGAAAGCAAAAATGTCAAGAATAAAAATACTATCAAGGTAGATATTTTTGTACTCTGGTTGATTAAAATTAATTCTTTTGTCCGCTTCATATACGGACATAATTCAACAATAAGGACTAATAAAATCTCTTAGAAAAAATCTCTTCAACAATAAGAATTAGTAAAATCTCTTAGAAAACATGAATTTTATACTGATTTTAATATGTACAATCGTTTTTTAAGAAACATTAAATAGTATTAATATTATTGAACATTATTAAATATTATTAACATGACCTTACATATTTATACATAACTTTACACGTTTAAATTTATAAATTTACTTGATTATAGTTATACAAATTATGAGTTCTTCAGCGTTTATATTCTTAAAGTTAATTTTAAAGGATTTATCTTTAATAGATCGTTATATTTTTGTTTTAAAGCAGACCGTAAGAAGATGCAAGTGCAATTCAAAGTGATGTTTTTTACTCTTTGCAAAAAGCACCCAATTTTAAGAAAAAAATCCATTTTAAAAGAAATATCCCAGTTAACATATGCTGAAAAGTGAAAAGTGACCATGTAATTTCCAAGCTGTTAGTGGTACGGACAGAAAGGCAAACAGAAAACGTCATTTATATATCAATATTTTTCAAGCAGGCGCACGCACGCACACATACTGACAACGTTAGATCACGGCAAGCGTTATCGCAACTTTGAAGAACAGAAAGGAGTAGGCCGATATTTAATGTTTCTGGAAATAATGAAAAAATAAGTATAACCTAAATGAAACTCAGTCGCATGCAACCAAGTGTATGTCTATTTGCATGACATCTTCCCGGCTCTCGTTTGAATGGATAGAAGAACAGATAGTTACTTTTTTCTTTCGCTGTCCCATTCTAATATTCAGTGGATTCGTCACTTTTTAATTAAAATAAATAAATACCAAGTCTCTTCTGGGCATAGTCGATCATTACTTGGCCCAGTTTGCTTTTCTTTATCATCTGTGGATTGTCGTGCCTTCTTGGCAAAATAATGGAGTTGTTTCCACTATTTAAATTCGAACTATTGTTCTCGTCTTTATTGTTGTTGTCACAACGTTTCGAGCATTGTGCCCTCCGGTCATCATCAGGTGTATATCGACCCGTGTAACCTACAAAGAATTCCTAACTGAATTCTTTATTTGATATACGATGGAAGACTGTTCTCGTTCCACTGCCCATGTCTACGTATATCTCTTCGAGTTCTTATTTTTATTACTACTTAGTTATTGATCGACTTGATTTCCATTGAGTTCAAATACACACTGTCCGGCCCAAGTGTTTCATTCACAATTACTATATAAACCAAATTTCCAAACCGACGCTTTAATACACTAGGGCAATTATCTGGGGGCGAACAAGGAGCCTTAAACCTAACCTACCTGCTTATGAGTGATGCTCCTGCTTGTCACGCTTGACTGCATT